TGTTTATTAAATCTAGGGGTCTTTTGGTGGAATTTTTGGAGTCTTCTATGTAGAATATCATGTCATCCACAAATAATAATTTAACTTATTTTTCTATCCTTATTTCTTTTATTTTTTTCTCTTGTCTACTTGCTCTGGCTGTTTCCAGAACTACATTAAGAGTGGTGATAGTGGACATCCTTGTCTTGTTCTTCATTTTAGAGTGAAAGCTTGCAGTTTTTGTCCATTTAGGTGGCTGCTGGATTATCATAGATGGTTTTTATCAGATTCAGATAAAGATTATCTATTCCAGGGCTAGGGATTTAGGTTAGTGGTTCCACTATCTGCCTCTTGCAAGCATAAGCACCCAAGTTCAATCCCTGTTACCCCCCTAAAAATTATTTATTCCAATTTTCTTTAGGGTTTTTATCATGAATGGGTGTCTGACTTTGTCAAATACCTTTTCTTCATCTATTGTGATGATCATGTGGATTTTGTCCTTAGCTCTGTTAATATTGTTAATATGGTATACTAATTTCTTGATTTGCATATGTTGAAATACCCCTGCATCCCTGGGATGAAGCCTACTTGGTCACGGTGCATAATCTTGATCAGTTGTTGCTTTCTGTTTGCCAGTATCTCAATGAGGATATCTGCATCTATGTTCATTAAGGAGACTGGCCTGTAGTTCCTTTTGTGATTCCATCCTTCTCTGGTTTTGGTATCAAGGTAACACTTGCTTCCAGGAATGAGTTTGGGAATCCTGCTTCCATTTCAATTTCATTACAGAGTTTGAGGAGTAGTGGCATTTGATCTTCTCTAAATTTCTTGCAGAATTCATCAGTGGATCCATCAGGACCTGGGCCCTTCTTTGTTGGTAGGCCTTACATTATCAATTTCATTGACTGATATTGGGTTATTTACACTCTATCTTCCTGATTCAGGTTTGGTAATTTGTATGTATCTAGGAATCTTTACATTTCTTTTGTACTTTCTATCTTATTAGAGTACAGGTTCTCAAAGTAGGTATTTATGATCTTCTGGGTTTTTGCAGGATCTGTTGTGATTTCATTTTTTTCATTGCTAACTGCATGGATGTGAGTCTTTTCTTTCCTTTGATAAGGTTGGCTAAGAGTTTGTCAATTTTATTTAATCTTTCAAAGAACCAACTCTGATTCATTGATTCTTTATATTTAGTTTCCACTGCATTAATTTCTGCTCTTTATAATTTCCTTCCTCATATGAACTTTGTGCTTGACTTACTCTTCTCATTCTAGAAGCTCGAGGTTCAACTTTAGGCCATTTATTTGACCTCTTTCTGTTTTTCTGATATGGGAATTATAGCTATAAACTTCCCTCATAGGACTGCTTTCACTGTGTTCCATAAGTTTCAGGATGCTGCACTGGCATTATCATTTAACTTTAGAAACTGATGATTTCTTTTTTAATTTCATTAGTGACCTATTGGTTGTTCAAGAGGTTATGATTTAATTTGCATGTATTTATAAAGGTTTTGTGGTTTCTTTTGCCACTGGTTTCCAATTTCATTGTACTATGGTCTGATATGCATAGGATAGTTTCCATTTTTTTGCATTTACTTATACATGTGTCTGAGTATGTGGTCTATTCTGGAGAATACCCTGTGCACAAGTGAGAAGACTGTATTCTGATGTTGTGGGGGTGGAACACTCTGTAGATGTCTTCTAAGTCCCTTTGTTCAAAAATTTGGTCCAGTTCTGATATTTGTTAACCTTTTTGTCTCGTTATCTATTTGTGACAGCAGGGTATTGAGGCCCCCTATTCCAACTGTATTACTGCTTGTTTGATTTGTCATGCTATTTATATTTGTTTCATACAGTTGGGTGTGTCGGTATTCAGTACACATATATTTATGATTGTTATTTCTTCTTCTTGGATTGTTCCCTTAACTAGGATGCAGTGACCTTGTCTCTCTTCATCAGTCTTGGCTTGAAATCCACTTTGTCTACGTAGACTGTCCCTGCTTTTTTCTAGGTTCCTGTCACATGGAGTATTGTTTTCCATCCTTTGACTTTTAATCTATGAATTTCTTTAGTTAAATGTGCTTCTTGTGTGCAGCATATTGTTGGATCTTGTTTCTTGATCCATTATGCCAGTCTGTTTCTTTTGATTGGTGAATTGAGACCATTTATATTGATGATGGTATCTGATATGTACTGCTTTACCTTTGTCATGTTATCTTCTTGTTGTTAGTTCCCTTTCTTTCCTCTTTGTTTAATTACTTGCCTTTCCTGGTAGATTCATTTTGTTGGGGTTCATGGAGTTGGAGTCCTCATTATTTTTCTAGAATGTCTTTCAGACCATTTTGGAATGCAGGTTTTGGTGATCATGAATTTCTTCAGGTGTTCATTCTTATTTCTCCATCAGTTTTGAAAGATAGTTTTGCAGGGTACATCAATCTGGGTTGGTGGTTGTTTTCTATTAGTGCTTGAAATACTGCATTCTAAGCTTTCCTTGACTTAAGGATTTGTACTGATAAGTCTGTAGTAACTGTGATGGGCTTCCCTTTATAAGTGGTTTATTTCTTTTTTCTAACAGCTTTTAATATTCTGTTCTTGTGTTGAATTTCTGAAATCCTATATATGCCTGGGGTAGATTTTTTTGGTCATGGCCACTTGGAGTTCTACATGCCTCACTTATCTGTATGTCAGATTCTTTTTTCTATGCTTGGGAAGTTTTCTGCCATTACTTCTGTGAAAAGATTTGTCTGTTTGCTTTTTTTAATGTCCTTTGTGCTATTTTCTTCTTTTCATTGACTCCAATAAATCTTGTCATTCTTTTTTACATCATCTAGTAGCTGTTGGACTCATTTTTCAAGGTCCCTTATTATTTTTAAGAAATCTTTCTTTTTTGATCACTGACCACAATCCTGTCTTCTATATCTGATATTCTGTCCTCACAATGGTTCATTCTGCTGTGTATACTTTCAAAAGACTTTTTTAATCTCCTGGATATCTGATTGAATTTGTCTCATGGATTTCATTTCTTTCCTACGTTGGGCAGTCAGCAGTTCCATCATTTTCCTAAGCTTCTCTATGTTTTTTTTTAATCTGTACCTTCTCTAGTTTCACTAATCATGCCTTTCATTATGGCCATTATCTCTGAAGTTATCTGAGAAATTATTTCTGATTTGATTTTTTTCTAGAGCTTTATTCACTTGCTTTGTTGCTTCTGCTGTTACAGAAAGTCTAGGTGGGTAGTTTTCAAACTGTTCCACCACATTATCTGCTGGGTTTGTCTTTGGTAAGGTTGACATTTGGAGTTTCATCTTGCTTCTGTCTTTTCATTTTCCATTTTTTTCAGTTTAATTCCTGCATTGATGCTTGTAAACTGTTTATGGTAGGTATCTTTGGTGCTGAAAGCCCTTAGAAAGGGACTACTTCTCAGAGATGTCTTCCAGGTGTAGCAGGATTTTGGGTTTTGATTCTGTTGCAAGATCCTAATCTCTTTAATTTATTTGAGGTGGTAAGTTGCTGCCTATTTGGCCTAGCTTCTGGTGGTCAGCAATGGCCTATACTACGGTTTATGCCCCTCAGGCAATTTCAAGTCTTGGCAAACAGGGAAGAGCAACTGATTAGAACAATTATGTCACCTTGGCTAAAGTAGTATAATCGAATAACAATAACATCAAAGATACCCCAGAAAATGACAAACTGGTAACTTTTAATTTTCCATCTTTAACTATATGAACAGGATTTGTATAGTTATATATCCAAATCTAAAATAAATCAGAAAAATGTGTACAGCAAATATGCCCTCAATATGGAGGTTTTACCCTCAGGAGAGAAAATTTAATAGGGGTTAGGGGAAAAAATAAAGAAACAGAAGAAGAGAAAGATTAGAAGCAAGGTTGGAGGACAAAGGAAGATTATGCAAGCATTAGGAACTGGTGAATAAGACAGGAGGGAAAGAAACAAAAGGAGAAACAAGAATTGAACAAAAGAAACAAAAAATTTGAAACAATGTTCTCACTTGTATAAAAACAAGAACAATAAAAAGAAAAATATACAAAATAAAAAATTTTTAAGATTTTTTTAAATTATAAAAAGTTAAAAAGAAAGGAAGAGAAGCAGAAAAAAATGTCCACTTAGGGTGTGTCTGTTGTCACTGGTTGACAAAGGGGGTCAACAGAGCCCAGATATGTGAGCAGAATTATGACAACGATAGAAGACCACATGACAAAAGCCTGGCTAATGAGATGGAAGCCAAAGTCTGCTAGTGTCTGGGAAGGCATTAGAGAAGTGGAATGTGGCTATTACCATTATTTTTGTCTCTTTTTAGTTCTGAATACAGATAAGCAGGATGGACCTATGGTCCCAATCTTACAATCATAAAAGAAAGGCCAAGATGTTTTCATGAATTCCCTAACACTGTGCAGTAATAGAACCAGAATGTCCACAGACATCTATTCCAAGACTTCTTTTTACATGAGAAAAATAAATTTTTACGGGTTAGGAACCTGTGAGTCTGGTATATTATTATTTAAAGTTGAAGAGTCCTCTGAAAGACAGCCAGGCTACTGCTAGTATAAGTACTTTGCAAATACTGACATAATTAAGATAACTTATTATTTGGGGTCTAAAGGTAACTTAAGAGATTACTTGACAGAATCTTATCAAAGTACTGATCAATTGTATCCTAAATGCTACACGATTCTAGTAATGTTCCAGTATCCTATTACTGAGTAGCTCATTACAACTATTTAAGCAAAACCAGTTATGAAAAACATAGTAATTTACTTTATCCTGCAAAGAAAATCAGTCTACAGGGCATAAATTCTAGACCACGGGTGAAATAAGTAGGATATATGTCAGGAAAAATTGGCTACAATCATACCATATATGCTACACACAGAATAGACAATATAAAAATGTAAAAATGTGAACTGTCTTAATAATCTAAAATACACAATTAGACATTTTATTTCTTAAAGATCCAAAATGTGAAAATGTGTGGTAAATTTAAAAATAATTCCAACAAACCTTTTGATTTTCCTGTATTTCCTTCTTCATCTGTTGATTTACAGAAATTCTGCTCAACGATCTGGGAAAATAAATATTGATATAATTCATTTTTCCTTAAATGTTTTGGACTAGTCTAATATTCAATGTACTATAATACTCTGGAAAATAAACTAAAACTCCAAATGCTTCAAGACATTTCCATCTAGCCTAATTTACAATAGTACTACAGTTTTTATATGACACAGTACAGTAAGTGATTGAGGAAAAATGGAAATACAAAATTTCACATTTTCACTGCATGAATTAAGTTCTGCCATAAGTTATTTACTACTATTTATATTTTTTAAAGACATGTGACTGAAAAAAATTATCTTGTGTTGTTTTGCCCATATACAGACATTCTGAAGGAAATTACCAATGTCATTCTATGTGCAAATAGGCAACTTTCAGAATATTTGTACATAAAGAACTTTGGTTAGCCTGGCATCTTAGCAAAGTACATCAGTTCTAAAATATAGACAAAATAGTAATTCTTTGGTATACATAGGGAATTGAATTCAGATCCAAACACAGGTACCAAAAATCATGGGTTTTGAAGTCCCTTATAGTATAAAATGGTAGCATTTGAGTATAACATGCATATATCTTTCTATATATTTTAATCATCTCTAGATTACTCAGAATACCTAATATAATGTAATGCTATATAAAGTTGCCATACTATATTAAGGAATAATGACAAGAAAAAAACCTGTACACGCTCAGTCCAGAAACAATTTTCCTTTGAATATGTTTCATACATATGAATCTATAAATGCAGTACCCACAGATAGAAAATGACTGTAACAACTTTATATTATTCAATCTTGAAGAGTTTATAAATCCATTATAAAGATATAATTTTAAAAATGTATTTCATAAGGGCTATATTTTTCAACTTTAAAACCTCCAAGAATGCTTAGTTTGTTACATATCTGTCAATTTTATGCACAGGAGAAAATTACTTAAATTATTTTTTTGTTTGTTTGTTTGTTTTTGTACTGGGGATAGAACTTGGGCCCTTGTCACTTGCAAGGCAGGCACCGGAACCACTGAGCTAAATCCCCCACCCAAAAATTAAAATTGTTAATACAAAGTTCTGCTTTAAGAAAAGTTCAGGCAGAAAGATAATCTTAAAGCCCAGAAGTGAGTATTTATTCCTAAATTTGGCAACACCGAGAGAAACTATAACAAAAAATTAATAAAGCAAAATTTTCATTCATTTAGCAAATATTTCATTTAACAAACATTTACTAATTATCTTAGTGGCTATAGAGCTATGCTCAAGTCTGCAATTTAGCTATTACAAATGTCAGCATATTTTTGCAAATTGTTTTTATAACCAACCTCTTGGAGCAGAATCTCTATAGTGGTACTGACTTGATTCCAATAATCAACTGTTTTATTAAAACTAAAATTATTAGGATTTGATCTATAATTTCAAAAGCTACTGTAATTAAGATTAGTATGGATAAACAATAATATTTATTTTAGTGTATGATGCTGAGTTCTCGAATTCTTGACTGTTAAAATTAATATGACACTAAAAGATACTTGGAGCCATTTGTGGTTGTGTATACCCAGTAATCCCAGGACTATGAGAGGCTGAGGCAGGAGGATTCCAAATTCAAGCAACTTAGTGACTAACTGTTGTCTCAAAATTTTAAAAAAGGGCTGGGAATGTAGCTCCATGGGAAGGCCCTGAGCTTGATTAGCTATACTGCAAAAAGAAAACAAAAAAAGGCACTTGTTTTTTTGTGGCCAAAGTTACTGTTTTATCTTTCAAAAGCAAAGACTACGTAGATTGAGGATTTTATAATATGTACTGTGAATAAATGAACAAGAGTGTCTTAAGACAAAAAAGCTTAGCAATCACCCAATATTTAAAAATGTATGCCAAGAAAAAAGGTACCCTCAAATTCCTCTCAATACAACACTGTTGTATTGCATTTGTGGTTTGTCACGTGTTGTATTTTTCAAATACCAGCTACCTTAATTTATGTTTTACACATTGCTTATGATCTCATATTGTCATTTCTAAGCAGAATAAAAATCCATTGAAAGTCATGTTATTTTGTAAATTCTCATAAAATCTGAAATATTTGTATTGGTTACACAAATATGTAACTGAAATGAAAGGTGTGTTTAATATATTTTCTGGAAGCAAATCAATTAGATATCCTGACTATATTCTGAAACAAAAAAGTATCCTACAAAATATTCCATACAGTTAAGACATCACTCATTGTTCAAAATATAAAAAACAAAACATGATTTGGTAGTTCTTTAAGTGTAGATATTCTATTTATAATACTTTCATTATCTTCCATAAGGGAAAAAAATACTCCCTTATTATGTATTTTTTAAACAAACATTTTTTTGTTTTGTTTTGTTTTGTTTTTTGATACCGGGGATTGAACTCGGGTCCTTGTGCTTGTGAGGCAGGCACCGGAACCACTGAGCTAAATCCCAGGCCCAACAAAAATTTTCTTAAGATTATAATATCTGATTAAAAAAACTATTTTATAAAACACCTTTTCCATACCATCAGCCTCTATTCTAACTGTTCTGTTTTGTTGTGTAAATAACTCTGTGTTCAAGCCAATACTGTGCTCTAATAAAAAAAATACATAATTATGGGCCAAGGATTTAGCTCAGTGGTTTTGCCACTTGCCTCACAAGCACAAGGTCCCCAGTTCGATCCCTGGTACCAAAAACAAATAAACAAATCCAAAAAACATAATTATAAAAAGTTCAGATTTAAAAAAAGTATACATAGAATTAGCATCGTCACATTAAATGAAATCTTCTATTCTCAAATTTAGTTTAATGCAAAGAATCTGGCTACAATTAAATCAATAAACTTTAAAATACCTGGCTTTTATGGGGAAGTTCTGTGAAATGTCTTTCATTAATTTTATGGCATCATAAACTGGAGTGGACATTATTTGAGAAGCTGCTTGAAAACTAAGATCTGGAAGGAAAAAATATTAAGGAATTTAGCATGTTAGACTTTTATAGATATTTTCATGGAATTTTACTCAAATTCTTCCCACATATATATTAAACATATCAGTACTCTCATATTTAGCATCCTTAAAATTTTAAATGGAAAGCTATCACTTATATCCAATTAAGGTAAGCATTAATTTTGATGTATAATTATCACATAACACCTATTATCTTTTTAGTTATTATTTTTAATCATTGAGTTATTAGTACATTTTAGGTATACAGTACAGTTACATTCATCACTGGAATCTTGTACCTTTACATGACAGGTCTTGGTTCTCATTTTTTCCCCCCATAACCCTCCCCTCCCTTCACCCCCTCCACTCTTCCCTATTTACAAAAACTTTGTTTCCATACTTTCATTTTCTCATATTTTTTCTTTTCCCTTATTTCCTTTCCCCTACCCTTCCCACTTCCCCTACACCTTTAGCCCTTTTCTTCTTATTTCACATTGTCAATTATACCATTTGGATCTAATTTACACTTTTAGTTTTCACACCAGAGAAACTAGTTGGTATTTACATGTGTGTCTTATTTATTTCACTTAAGAGTATGGCCTCAATATGCATCCATTTTCCTATGAATGACTCTAGTTTCTCATTCTTTATGGCTGAGTAGTAAGTACTCCATTTTACAGAAAAACCACGTCTTCTTTATCCAGTCTCCAACTGATGGGCAATTGGGCTGCTTCCAAGTTTTAGCTATTACAAACTGTGCCGCTATAAACATGAGTACGCATATATCACTGTGGTATGATTCTCTTAGTTGTTATTTTAAAAACAGAAAATTGATGAGCAGTTGCCTACAAATGGTGGGAATTGGGGAGAAGTGAGGAGTAACTACTATTGAGTTTCTTTTGCAGTGATGAAAATGTTCTAAAACTGACTGTGGCAATAGTTGTAGAACTCTGACAATTTACCAAAAAACCATGGAACATTAGTTTAAATGAGTGAAATGATACAATTTGTGAATTACATCTTAGTGAAGCTGTTTGTTATATCAAAGGTTGATGGACGATGTGATGAAAGTTATGTATTATGCAGAAAAATGACATGTCCCCATGACCAGCTAAAAACAATTTCAAATAATAAAGGAGGAAAATTACAAATTGAAAAGGACATACAGATTGATCAAAACTACATTTTGATCACAAAATATCGGCTTAGGCTGTCAGCCCAAAAGCTGTACTAAGTCTTTAAATACATATTCTCTCACTAATATCTTCATCAGAAATTTATCAATGAAGCATGCTATTGTGGTTTATATCTAGATGTTCCTCTAAAGCCTCACACATTACCTATTTTTATTAGTGGTGAAATAATGTTATAATTGTAAGAAAGGTTCAGCTTCTGTCAAATGAGTCTATCACAATGGAACATTATTTGCAAGAACTACCAGTCAGTCCTAAGTTTCTGTATATGTCCTAAAACTTCAACTGTTTATACAATTTGGAAAATGTTACATTAATCAAAGTAGCAAGTCTTACTGGAGTAATTATGTTCGTTTTCTCAGTACTTTTTTTTTAAGTTTAAAAGTGTAATTAAACCTGTATCTTGTGATTGCTTTTTGGTCTGTGCTTTGAAATTCTTTCCCTTCTTTTTCCCAATTTCATAAAGATATGTTTAGATATTAAATTTGTTTAGACATTGAATGATCTTGTTAGAGGCACAATTGATCATACTGGTTGTACTTTGAAGACAGACTTGGGAAGTGGAGCCTCGGAGAACGAGGTAGTTGAGGGCATGGCCTGGAAGCGTGCATCTCCCTCCCCTGTACCTCCCTTCACTCTGTTTTCCTGAAGCAATACTCCTCCCACATGCCCCTCTGCTGTACCATCCTGCCCTGCAGGCAAACAACCATGGACTGAAACTATGAACTGTAAGTCAAAATAAACCTCCCTTTAAACTGCAGATGTCAGGTACTGGTCTCAGTGACAAGAAAGTGATTATGGCACATGCAATGGTCTAACCAGATACAAAATTTAAAAAGAATAAAATTAAGGTTTATTTCTGATTTATCTTAATAATCAGGCTTTTAAATCAAATTATATTCTCTGAAGTATGATTTAATACTTGAGACTAACCTCTAAAATGAATCAGTATATATTTATAAAATGATAAAATATCAAATAACTATATATATAATTTTAATCTAATACATAATTTGACCTTTTAAATATGTAGTCCTGCAAAATAATGTAATTTATATTATCCACATCATTTAAAATTGTCTATAAAATTTATAGTATACGTTATAAATGTATTTAATAAAACAGATCAGTTACCAAAATGCTATGTTAAAGCAGCTCGAAATACTATACCTTGTAACTCCCAGACTTTCAAAGGTGCCATTTCTTTGTTACTGTCAATCAGGTATTTTTGGAATACTGTCAGATTATCTCTAAGATCTGAATATATTTCTCTGGATCAGAATATTAAGCAAAATTAGTTATTACCTAGCATACATCATTATATAAACAGTATTTTTTGAAAGCAATTCTTCCAAATGATTAGACACAACTAATCACTCATCATTAAAATAAACTGTAACAGTTATCTGCATAAAGCTTAAAAATAATGAAGAATGTATCTCTATATATCTCCTTTTTAAAATAAATGAAAAAAAAATCTAGAGAGGCACACTGTCATTTCTTAACATTACCCCTAAGGGATGATATAATGAGAGCAGTATTATCAGTTTTCACGTTATATGTTGTTTTAACATTTAAAAAATTACAATTTATAATTTAAAATAAAAATGATTTTATAAGGAAACATTATACAATCTTCACTTGGTCTTAGCTAAAAGACTTTAAATCTTACACAATCATGAGTTTGTTTTATTTCTAAAAAATTCCATCCTTGATTATTACAAAAAACTAAGGATAATTTTGCGCGATTAAAGATATCTAGCATTTTTTAGAGAAAATCAAATACTAATAACAGAGTGCCACTTTACATCATATGAACCTTTCCTCTATTGCTCATGAAATTAAGACATGATGCCATTTTTATATTTAAATGGATTTCTTTTGGAAAAAAAATCTTTAGCTAACATACAAAACACATTTTTAGGCTCAAATTAAAAGGACATATTTTGAACAGTCAATAGAAATTAAAATTTTAAAAAATGAAATAAAAAATATACAGATGATGTATACAGAAATGCATTAACTTTATAGATAAACATACATAGAGTGTCAATATCTTGTAAGTTTTACTAAATTTTGGGGTCATATTTTGAAAACAAATCAAGACTGACGATTGATTTCAGAGTAAAAGACCAATAGAATTTCTGCCTACATGAATTCACTATGAATTAAATGAACCTTTCAGTTTTCAATATTTTGTTATAGAAAAATGTTTATAAGAGCTATTATAGTATTATAAAATTCAATAATTTTCACTGCTTGAAAAGTTTTACATAATTAAGTCAACATATATCATTTATACAATACTTCAAACCAAAGGATTTTTACATTAAATGAAGAATCAATTGAATCACTGTGGAAGAACAGAGTATTATTTTTAAAATATAGGACAAAGTTCCAAAGGCTTTTGGAAGTATGCAATTCATCCTCACAAAAAGTTACTCTTAAAAAAAAGGATTATGCATTTCAAGAAGCTGAGACACATCTTAACACATCATAAATATGGACTGATAGTCACTATATTACTTAGATTAAATCTGATTGTAAAATATTAACTTTTTAAGGGCAGACAATAGCACACTGCTTAGCCAATATACAGATAACTGTTTGAATCAGCACAGTATGCAAAAATTTTACTCTACCCCCACCCCTCAGTGCTCCAGGCCTCCAAGCAGAGCAGACCTGGGAGGAGTGCCAAAGCCCCTGCAGCATCACCCACCGCCCCTACCCCTCCACTGCTTGGGCCTCCTGGTTGTGCTGGTACCTGGATCCACAACACAGAGGCAAGGGGGGCGGTCACAAAGGCCACTGTATTGAGCTCCAGAAGATAGAGCAAAAGTGAACAAAAGAAAGAGGGCCTCGCTTAGGCCCCTTGATGAAAAGTGAAGCCCATAGGAAAAGTGAAGAGAATCTCTGCAATAAAGGGTCACCAGACCACCGTGTCTGTAAATTGGAGGGATCACCACCTCCCATTGGAACCTGAACTATCTTCATGGGAAGGACAAATGGAACCTGCAGGAGAAACTTGTAGAGTTTAATCGTGCAGGAGGTCAGGGAGCTCAAATTGGGCCTTGCAGCCAGAAATCAGCCTGAATCTCAGGGGTCTGCTGCTGGCTTGCTGAGACTAATGGACTTAGATCTGTACCTCGCTGCCCACATTGTCTATCGTGACAGCAGAGACATACTCTGAACAAGGCTCTTCATTTTTATTTTTAATTTTAAGTATTTTTTTCTTTTCCTCTATTTTTAATTTTTGTTTTCCCTACTCTTCAAATGCTTCCCTTTTGCTTTCTCCTTTCTTTCTCTCTCCCACTAGGTCTTTCACTCTCCCACATTGTTCTTCATCTCCCCTTTTGTTCCTGTTCCTGCCCTAATTTGGATTTCTTCATTTTCTTTTTTTCTTTTTCCTTCTCTCCATTTTCATTAGTTTCAATGGAAAGTGAGTAGTTTCTAGTTTCCCTATTGCTGTTAAGTTGTTCTATTCTTGTCTTAGTTCTTTCACTCTTGTCTTCAACAGTTTCATAGAGTTTGTGTGATCTTCCTGGGTCCTCTGGCTTCACTTCTAACCTATCCTTCTACCTATCTATCTATCCCTCTCTTCCGAACTCCTTCAGAGTGCCCATTCTGAAGGGTAAAGTTGCTATATTGAAGAGTTTATTCACTATAGACATATTCTGGGCTGATTCTCATTTTCAATTCACATGGTTAAAGGTCATATATTATTAACTACCACAAATTGTCATTTTCTAAGCTGTGCTTGATGCTACTGTGCTGCTGATTGTATCACTTGGGCTAAGGTGTTGTGATTGACCTAATCAATTGTCCTTCCTGGTATAATAAAAATGAGATTGCCTCAGGGTGATTAGAGACTCAAAACATAAAGATCAACTATACCTGGAAGATCGAAGTATTAACCCAGGAATTAAACCAAAGATAGCATCCACAACAAAAATAGAAATGAGAAGACATTCAAGCAAGGCACAAACACAAACACAGGCTTCTAGCTCATCAAAAGCATATTCCGATGGAAATAAGGAGGAAAAGTCTGACAATCAACCACCAGGACACCTGAACTGATAGCACAGGAAGTAACAAAACAGATGAATGAGGCTCTAGATAAATTCAAAACAGAAATAATTTCCTAGATACTACAGAGATGGTAAGCAGAATGAAGGACACTAGAGACTCTAGAACAGAAACTGATAAAACAAAACAAAACAAAAAAAACAAAACCAAAAACATGAGTTCAGGACCATGATAGAAAGTAAGGATGCACAGCATAGGAAAGAAATGGGAACCATGAATTCCCAATACAGGGAAGAAATGGGATTCCAGGAGACAGATTCCAATAGCTATCCAAGAGATTAAAATAAACAAACAAAAAACCTCTATTGAAAGTATACACGACAGACTGACCCACTCTGAAGACAGAATATCAGATATAGAAGACAGAATGGTGGTCAGCGATCAAGAAAAGAGAGATCGCTTAAAAATAGTAAAGAAATATGAGAAATCAATCCAAAAGCTCCTAGATGATGCAAAGAAGAATAATATAAGACTGACAGGAATCCAGGAGGATTGATGACAAATGACATGAAAAACACTGTTCACAGAATTAGTGACAGAAAATTTCCCAAACAGGGCAAAAAAATTTTGACATACAGATAAGTGAGGCATATAGGACTCCCAACTAGTCATGATTAAAAAACAAAAAACTACACCTAGATATACAATAAAGATCCTGAAAACCCAACAGAAGAAAATACTGTAAGCAGTTAGAGAAAAGAAACAAATCATATGCAAAGGAAAGCCGATCAGAATCACAGCAGACTTTTCAACACAAACCCTCAAGTCAAGGAGAACCTAGAGTAAGGTATTTCAAGCCCTAAAAGAAAACAACCTCCATCCTAGAGTGATGTATCCTGAAAAACTATATTTCAAAATTTTTGGGGAAATAAGGTATTTCCATGACAAAGAACACCTGAGAAACTTCATGAATAGCAAACCAGCACTACAAACAATTCTAAACAATATCCTAGAAAAAGACAATGAAGGTCACAACTCCATGAGGCCCAACAGAGCAAATCAATTAGGCAAGGCAAGAAATAAAAGGGAGAGGGTGAAAAATTAAAATGGGACAACAATATGACAATGAAAAGTCAATACATGGTTCAGTGACCTGCCTTGCAAGCACAAGGACCCGAGTTCAATCCTCGGTACCAAAAAAAAAAAAAAAAAAAAAAAAAAAAAAAAAAAAAGAAGAAGAAAAGTCAATACATATCAGTTATAGCCCTCAATGTTAATGGCCTGAATTCACCAATCAAAAGAAATCAATTGGCAGAATGGATTAAGAAGCAAACTGGAACAATATGCTGTATACAAGAAATGCACCTAGTTAAAAAAGAAACTCACAGACTGAAAGTAAAAGGATGGAAAACAGCTCTCCATGTGACAGGAACTTGGAAAAAAGCAGAGATAGCTACCTTATTTGCAGACAAAGTAAATTTCAAACCAAAACTAATTAAGAGAGACAAAGATGATCACTACATCTATGTAAAGGAAACAATCTGAGAGGAAGAGATGACAATCATAAATATATATGCACCAAATATTAATGCCCCCAAATATACAAATTATTAAGGGACATGAAAAACCAAATAAGCACTAATACAATTATAGTGGGGGATGTCAATACCCCACTGTCACAAATAGATCATATAGACAAAAAAAATCAACAACAAAATACTAGAACTGAACCAAGCTTTTGAACAAATGGACTTAATAGAGGTCTACAGTGTTCAAGCCCACAAAATCAGAATATACATTCTTTTCAGCTGTACAGGTTATTCTCCAAAATAGACCACATACTAGCTCATAAAACATGTTTAAGTAAATGCAAAGGAGCTGAAGTTATCCCATGTATATTATAACACCATAGTGCAATTAAACTCAAGATCAACAGCAAAAGAAACCACAAAAATTTCACAAACACATGGAAATTGAATACTCTCTTGAACAACCAATGGGTCAGAGGAAATTAAAAAACAAATTAGACAGTTTTTACAAATAAATGATAATGCCAATACAACATACAGGAATCTGTGGGACACAATGAAAGCAGTTCTATGAGGGAAATTTACAGCAGTGAATGCCCACACTAGGAAAACAGAGCAAGCTCAAATAAACAACTTAATGCTGAATCTTAAACTCCTAGAAAAAGAAGACAAAGACAAACCCAAGGTTTTACAAGGGAGGAAATTATAAAGATCAG